GATCTAATCACATGCTCTGGGGTCTTCCCCACTCTCATCTCTCACCCTTCGAGGTCTCTCCCCTGAGAAGGGCAGAGACAAAGCGAAGATGGTGTCCCGGGCGCCGACATAAAGTGTATGGGAAGCAGGATCCACAAGGAGAACAGAGTAATTGTATATCTGAGGGATGGTGAACCGGGTAAGATAAGTGTCAGCCTCTAGCAGAAAGAGAGGGAAGAGTGATATCAGCCATCGCTTCAGAAGGGTTAGGTCCACAGGCCAGAAGAGCCAATTTTTGTGTTCTTCCATTTATTTATCAGCCATCAGGGGAAAAAGACAGAGCCTGACAGGCATTGTAACTTTCCCAGAGATAGATAACTGATGAGGCCAGAATATTTAGCACACAATGCAGTCAAGTATGCTTTTTCTATAAAAATAGAACACTTTATTAAAATAACAACATAAATATTAAGTCTGTAAAATCTATTCATAGCAAAATGACAAACAATTTGAAAATAACTTTAAAAACTTCAAGTACTCTCTAAATTTCCCTTTAAAAAAAAAACACACTACTTAATATTAACTTCCTTTTACTTAGAAGGGAAGTGCTACACTCTTTTCACTAACACATTAGGAGACTACCTCCGCTCTCTCCCACCACCCTTGATCCCTCCCACCTCCATTCTACCCAAAAAGCAAAAAGGTATAGAGCAGTGGTTCTCAATCTGTGGGTCGCGACCCCTTTGGCAGTCGAACAACTCTTTCACAGGGGTCTCCTAAGACCATCCTGCATATCAGATATTTACAGTACAATTCGTAAGAGTAGTAACATTACAGTTATGAAGTAGCAACGAAAATAATTTTATGGTTGGGTCACAACATTAATAACTGTATTTAAAGGGCCAGAAGGTTGAGAACCACTGATATAGACCATAGTGGGCAAGAGTATATGCTTTGGAAATGAACCAGCCCAAGGTTAAATCTGGCTCTTTCACTTACCAGCTGTATGATCTTGAGTAAGTTAACTTGACCTCTCTGAACATTACTTTCCTCATCTGTAAATACCACCATCCAGGGTTGTTGAGAGAATTAAATGAAATAACATGTGGGAGCATCTGACACATAGTTTATACAAATTGTTCGATGGCCTCCCCTATTCATTTTCACTAACATTTCACCTTCTACAACAGCACCCCTCCCTGACCTCCCATTAAACCATAGATCTAATCACATGCTCTGGGGTATATGAGCTCTATTATGACCAAATCTAAATCTCACATCAGCATTCAAAATTCTTATCTATTTATGTCACTCTCATGTCGATGTTTCCCTCATTCACCCTCTTGCTCTCTCCTCCTCCCTCCCTTCCACTCTCTCTGAAAAAGAAAAAAAGCAATGGGAAAAAATATCCTCTTATCTATTTAAAGATAACAAATAAGTTAGCATACCTTCTTAGCTCAATGTCTGGCTCTAGGGGTCCTATTCCCGAACCAATACAACTCTATTCTACCTGATTCATCTGCTCAGCTACCCTCAAGACTGATAGAATGGCCAGCAGCCATTCATTCCTAGATAGGCTGATATACGGAGCCCCACCCATCTCCCTACAATCATATTCATGACTGTGCTGTCTCTCTCACGCTTAGAATAAGCCCTGGTTCCCTCAACCTCCTTTTGTATCCCCAGCTCTGCTTCACCTTGCCATCTGGACCTCTCT